AACAAGTGTGATATTCGCAGGCTACTCTATCCTATCCCCTGGATAGATTGTAGGACACGACCTCATCTAGGATTGTTTATGTCCTTCCCAGTTCTGCAAAAGTCTTGCAGGATCATCGTAAATTACAAACATTGCAGCATTTGGCCGAGCTACGTTATTTGGCATCAGTTTGTGATGATAATGTTGTTATTTTGAAACTGGACGACGATGTCGCGTGGGACGTCCTCAAGGCTTCGAAAATTCACAGAAAAAGTCCTCAAATCAAACGGGGTTCATTGTATGAGGTGAGTGATTTTTACGATTGCTACATGTTCGCTATGCTATCTCTGTTATCGACGCAGGAACTGAAGGGCGCGTACTGGTAAAGCTCAGTGTAGAGAGTAGAGGAGATGCTGTCCACATGGCAGTATGATGTCGGTCAGACTCTGCGATTGCATCGCGCGATGCAATCGCAATCGCTCTGCCAAAAGTGCAAGCGGCGGGCAATGGCCCGCCGCGATCGATACCGATGTCGACTGCATCGATGTGGGCGGGGCCAATCGCCCGTCGCTTGTGCACATTGCAAGAGCGATTGCATCGCGATGGACAAGCGATGGAGCGATCGCGTCGCTCCGGCACTGGTCCATCGCGATGCAATCGCCGAGTCTGACCGACATCTGAGGATGCAGCGCATAGGGCGAGCCATAGCCCGATCCCTTGTTGTCTTTACATTTATCACTACAGCAGACACAATCCCTCCGCTTTCTGTCTCGATCGATAAGTGTATCGTGCGTGATCCGTTTTCCCAAGGGAATCCGAATACTTATGAAACTTAACGTTTGACGTCCTTTCAATACACCCCTGCAGTTTCTCCGTTCCATTTTATTCTCTGTGTTCACCGTCGTCGTTTACGTTTTGGTGACAAGAGAAAGTTGGTGACATCCACCTAACTTTGTGAAGTAATGGTGGTGGAATCACGGTCGACGGACTACTTGAACTCAGCCCTTTAAACCGCCTCTGCGCTCTCTCGCGGGTCCCTCTCCTCTCCAAGGCTTAGTCCTAGGGCATTCACCCGTTCTCTAATCGTCTGTGCTCTAGCCATCGCGGCAGGACCATTGAGGAAAAATCAAGTAGTCCGTAAACCGTTTAATTACCAGCCTACGTTAAGGTTGAGATAAAATATTGTTGAGATCATCGTTTTATTCATCAATCAAGTACTTTTCAGGTGGAAGTGGAACTGCATCCCACATTTGCGAACCCGTTTCGAGTGCTCAAAGAGCCGCCTTTCGAATTGGAAGAAACTGGTTATGCATCGTTCACCCCAAAACTCATTATCTATTTCAACACTCCTCATGCTAAGCCGTATCCGGTGCAGTATGACATGAACCTCAAGCTTGGTATGTGCCATCCTTATCCCTACTAGTCCAGAAGGTAAATGTTGTGAGTTCAGAGAAGCATGCATTTCATCAACAAGAAATGACCTTTGCTATGTCGGATGTGACTCCGTCGTTTCTTGACTTGGTACGACGCTTCTGTGGATCCACTGATGGAAAAAGGAAGAAGCGCGATGGCGAGGCGTCAGCAAATCGCACGAAAAAGCCAAAGCCGGATGATGGAAAGTGAGGATTTCTTGTTTCTTTCGTAGCGTTACTTACTTGGAACATTTTTGAATGTTTGGCCCTTGAATTATGCTTATTTCAGGAATCATAATGATTATAATATGAAAGAAGGAAAAGAAAGCGAAAAGAAGAAAGATCCTGGACGTGAGAGTGAAAAAAGTAAAAAGAAGACCAAGCGCTCGTCTAAGGACTCAAATGTAAGTTCTACGCATTCTGGTCAAATAATTTTTCCACACATGATGGGAGATGATCTGTCGAAACCTGCTTCGACATTTTCAGGAAGGGACAGATCGTGAAACGATTCCTGCTCGCGATGCTTCGCCAGAATCTTCACCAAAGGACTCTTCAACTTGCGTCTAACAATACACTCAACGTACCAGCTCAAAGCGCACCAAATAAGCGGGAATCGCTGTCAGACGCTCCAGCGTTCGGTAGTTTCCACTTCCTGACGAATTGCTTTGACGCCCATCATCAACCCCCTATGGATTTCATTCCCTTTTCCAGTCCCTTCTGTGTAGCACTCCCTTCTCCGATGCTCCGTCTATCATCTCTTGGGGCTTCCAGTCCTGCATCGCGAAGAGCACTGCCACTTTCTGAATTGCATCGTCGCTTGACGTCCCTCACGGACGAAAATTTGATATTCAGGCAGGTTTTTCATTTTTGTTCTGCTTTCATCCTTTACAATTTTTCACAAAAAAATCGCCTAGCTAGTAGGAGATGGCGATTACTGGCAGAGCTCCTACTTGAAAGCCAAAGATTGCGCTAGGTCGTGTGAGGGACCGTATGTGGTACTACGATTTTCGGAGCTGGTCGGGATTCCACGATAGCTGCTATACCGGTAGTGACGAGCCGTTTGAACAACGTTAGAAGCAGCAAACGCCAAATCAAATTGGGGATGAGGCAAAGCATACCGCCGACTAAACCCTCAACGAGGATTTTCTCTTGTCATCTTTGACATGGGGCGTGCTCAGACGAGTTGTCTGAACACCTTGCTCCACGGCTCCACTAAGCCGCGCGTGTGTGAACAAGCTGCTAATCTACGTTGCGTATCATGTGGTGTGCACGAGGTATCTCGTCCATAAGTTAACACATTGTGTACCGCGTGCGCCACATGGTGGCGCACGATTTCGCACGAAACAGCATAGTTTTATCTGATTTATTTGACATTTTTCAATGCTCCTGAACTGTTTGCACTCATTTTCAGAGCCGGGAAACCATACGTGTCATCACTGATAAAATTGTTGATAGATTAATGATGATACATTTTTGAAAAATATAAAAAAAATATACGAACGGCGGTCCGCAATGTGTTAATATTTAGTTAAGTTCACTTTGTAAAGCCCTAGCGTCGCTGTCGGCCATTCGAGTCGCGATAGCGGCACATCTGTGATACTCGCGGGGACGCAGTGAACCTTGAGGGCGAGGCAGGAATGCATAGGGCTTTGTTAGGTCGGGTCGAGTGCTCCGTTCGCCGCGAAGTGCCCTGTGAATCGTTTGCTCGAATGGAGTCATATTCACTTAACTTTCTTCAACGAGGAAAATCAAGGAGCAGCACTCATGTGCGCCGCTACGCTAAACGGAAAAGGCTCTCTCAGGCGACTGAAAGTGCCTTTTTCCGTTTACTGAAGACTTTCTGTTCACTGAAGACGTTGACTGAAGACTGCGCGGATTCTATGAAATAAGTCGAAGTCAAAGCTGGTGAGGTAACAATGCAAAAATGAACGTGGCGGGGGAGGGAGGAATGCTTAGT